CTAGACGGCAACAGGCTATGTCGCTCACCTCCGGTAAGTTAATTCAGTTCTTTTTTGTTTTAACTAAATTACTAAATCAAGGGCAACCACACTGTGTATACGTAAATTTGTTTGTGTTGAATTTGCAGAAAGCAAAGTGGTACAATTTCAGGATAGTACCTTTAAAAAGCAAGGTATTGGTTGACAAGGTTTTTCTATTTATTGGCACAACGGTGGAAGTTTTCGTCTATCCTAGGTCTTTATTTAGTGGGTTGAGACTTTTTGAGTTATATTTTTGGAATTAGACATTTGTCAGAATTGTGACATTGTGATATCAAATTTTCATTCTTGACTTTGTCAGATAAAGTGAATCCTAAAAGATAAATACTTCCAAAACTGCTGTAGTAAAAAGAAAGCTTCTTATGAGAACTATTCTGAAGATGGCCCGCCTTGATTGTTACTGAAATAGTATAAACAACTTTCTACGAATATAAGTTCATTGTTTCTGAAACGCACAGACTGGACGATTATGAAGAACAAACAAATCATTAAGTGATTCTTACTTGTTAAATATATGGTTGCCTAAGTAATTAAACAAGTCACAAGTGAGATAATTGTTGTGAAAATCTGTATTGCACAAAACTGATGCATATTCTGAATTTATTAAGTTCTAAATAACTACTGATTATTGTGCTACAACGATTAAACTGTAACAAGCAATGTTTTGTAGTTAAATTATCTACATCAAACTTGAAAGTTCAGATAAAATTCAAAATTTATATTTTATTCTATAAATTTAAACTCGGTATACTTATTTATTATCTGTATTTGACAGTTTGTTTCACATTTCAATGAATTACAATTATATGTTAAAAGTAAAAGTAGAATTAAATAGAATTTTTGTTTTTCTTTTGGTTATATAATATCATAAAATAGGTCGAAGTATATTCAGTAATGTATATAAAGTTGTGGGAAAATGATTAGAAGTGAACTCATGAGCATCAGTTTTCAGCATCTTAAAAAATAGAGAACAAAGAACAAGTCTCATGGAACACGGTATGTAAATTAGATGAGTTGTATATGTGTTATATTATTGAGTACATAAAATGTTTTTACAACAATAACTAAATACCTATGAATAACTGGCGATTACTAAAAGTACTATTTGACGAGAATAACTATGTGTCCTTGTTCGTTTAATCACAATCATATTTTCACGAAATTACGAACAAATGTTTCTTAATTGATACAAATACACAAAAACCTTATTTTTGTGATCACTTGTTCATAAAATCTGAATAATTCACAGGGTAGGTACAAGGTTGAATACAAATTTTATTAATCATTTAATTAATTCCCAAAACAATTCGGTTTCGCAGAAATAAATGTGCCTGAAATAAATTTGCAATTACGTAAAAGAGTTATTTCTCAAGAACAAATGTTTTCCCTTCGTATTTTCCTGATCAGACAAAAATAAGCTTTTATGTTTAATTCATATAAAAATTCTTGTTGCGATCACTGTCGTGCATCCACGGCGGATTAATTAAATCTTCTGTACACATTCGCCGAACACTACGTCGGTTTATCGATTTTCCTGCGCTGTGGGAGCAGCGGAGAAGTTTAGCGACGGAGTGGGGGCGAAGAAAGGAGGGAAATCTCGTTGTAATAAAGCGGTTACACCTGTTACACTCTAGTGAACGCTTTAAGATGGTTATTAACAAACCGCGTTCTACTTGTTGGCGTAGCCGTGGCTAATTTCGAATGAAGCCGATAACGCTTTATGAGAATGATTATTTCAATCCCTCAACTAATTGTTGTCAAAAACCGATCTTCCGGAAGAACAAAGCAGTAGAGATTTAATCACATTGTACAGTTTTCTTCTAATTATTTTCATTTAATTTATAAAATTAAACACATGTACGAAATACGATCAAATAAGTATACGGTCAATGTAATTTATTATTAATTTATTTAATTACTAATTTTTATAGTTAGCTAATAACTTTGGCCTGTAGGAGTACTCTCGTATTTTTCTAGAAGTAAATTTATGTTAGGATATTTTACGTTTACTTTAAACACTTTCACTTGAAAAAAATTCAAATTTGATCAGATTGAAAATCACCTTTTTTACTTTGCTACTCCATCAGACTTATTTTTCGCAAATTATTTTAACAGGAATGATAAGGCGAAAAGTAGTAATCCGTGGTTATATTCTTAGAGTATATCCAAAACAAGAGGCAATTTAATAGAATTGCATACGTAAAATAACTACGTTGCAACGAGAGTAACGTGCAACGATTGGCGTTGAGGTCACTGACGATACTTCACATATCGCGAAATCATTTTATTTTCTCAATCGAAAAGAAAATTTGGTTAATAGCTTCTTCCGATGGTTTCCATATGAAATGAATCCGGCTCATCGCATAGGCACTCTAAATATCATTTATAAATGCAGCATACTTTTGTTGTTCCTTTTAAAAATTGTTTGGTCATGTTCAAATATTTATAATCTTATAAAAGTGTACATTATTTCATTTAGCAATTTCTATAAAATTGTTATTTGTATGAAACAGTTGTGTAGCATTTAGAATGAAACCGTAACAAATCTTTAAAGCAATTTTTTCCATGAGTAAAGTAGCCATAAATTAAGGATGATAGCGAAAAATGATTTTTATAATCAAGTTCAATGCACGAGCATCTGTAAGAATCAGCTGTTGGTTATTAAGATATCAACTAAAGGTATTAAGTATTGATATTATTTGTATGTATACTTATAGATATTTACAGACTTTCTTGTTATTTTATGAAAATATAACTAAAACTTATATATATAATATTACTATCTAATGAAGTAAAAATGTTCATGAAATACGTCAGTTTAACTTAAAATGAATTGGACGTAATCGTTAATAAGATTTTTGTATCCCACCGTTGTGTTTAAGACTTATGTTTATCGAGTTAAAAGGAAAGCATTCAAATCAAACATATCTTAATGCATCACTAACTTACTGTGAACTATAGTTTCTAGTAATGGAGAAGAGTGATTTTGCTTTCTCTGTAATGAGACGTAACGTGAAGAAGCCAGTCATGAGTTCACAAACGATGTGGAGGTGTATTAACACGTTCCGTGCCACGGAAACTTCGGTCGTATTTTACTCATGAACTGTATTGATTTTCTAAATAAAATATTTAGTTATATTCAAGTTTCTTTTAATTTTATATATTTTGATATCGTTTCTTGATGTTTTCGGTGCTTTGTAACATATACAGCTATTTTTTACCATGTGTCCCTTAAAAATATTTTGTTACAAAATTAACGTGTACCGCATGTGTGTACCGCCGCTTTACATTACATATAAATCTGTTATTCAATAATTAATACTTCATATTGAACATCAATTTTATTTATTTTTAATAAAATGTAACGTAATGTAATACACGAATCGATATTGATATAAATATATTATTTTTTATTATTATGTATTGAATGTTCGCCTGCTGTTATATTAGTAAACGGTCTTTTCTTACTCATAATTTGTTCTGCTTTTCGAGGAGATACAATTTGGTGGAATAAAATATGTATAGATTTTAGATGCGTTGAGAAATGCACGCAGTATCGGTACAAGCGATAGCTTTGAGCGTTTTTCACTTTCTATTTGAGTGCAACATGTATCATGAAACTTCAGAAGACGCAAACCCATCGCTCGTAGCGATACCTGCATTGCTGCACCGCATGTTTCAACCCGTGTGAAAGCCATCAGGAATTCAGCATAACTGTTATCATGAGTTTGTAAAAACTTTTATTTTGATTTTGATTTTCGCGATTGATATTTTCAGTGTAAACTCTGGTCGTTTGTTAAATATTTTTAGGGAAGATATTACTAATTAATGCTAAATAACGATTGATAAGTGATTAATGACTTGCGTAGGTAAAAATAGGATGCTCGGAAACAGTGCGTAAACAAATGTTTTCCAATTCACGTTATTTGTATCTTTCGTGTGAATCGACCTAATACGCTGTTGCAGAAACTAGTGCTTAGAATCGTAACCAGAGAAAATGGATGGCATGTTAGAACCGTTTTCTACATTGTATGCTGATACGTTTTACCTTGTTCTTCGCCTGAGAATGATACGAAAGCAAATATTAATATAAGCCACTGCAGGACATCACTTTCCTTAATAACTTAATGTTTATTCACGACTTCATTTTTTAGTCACGCTACTAGCCACGTAATCCTACAAAACGTTAGAAAGTGAAGATAAATATTACTTAAATTAAGTACATGTTTCAAGAATAACTCCTCGAATAAAACGTTATGTGATTCGATTTACGTATTTAGCTTACGCGTTACCAACAGCCAGTTCTTATCTCCGTTTAATTAGATTGAAATTTCATTTTTATTAGATCGAAGATTGAACTTGTATTTTTATTTACTTGATTACTCGAGGAACAATTCATTTAAAAATAAAAAAAGATTAATTTCGAATTATTCGTTTACTCTAGATATGAAATTATGTTACTACCAAGATGAAAACAATGGAAGAATTTTGATGATCGAATTTTTTCTTTTACCGTGTTTCGATTTCAATGGTTCACGATCTTAATCGAGTTACGAAAGGCATCTTTCTCTTTGGAAGTTCCTACAACCGATCACCTTGACATACATTCGCTTACTCTTGCTCATAGAAATTGCACCTGAAGCGTAAATGCAATACTAAAATCCTCCGTAATCTTAAAAATGGTTACGCAGCATACTACCTCACCAGAAAAACATTTTTATCTCTATTAGTGTTGCTTTTCCGAATTATTTATACAATTATTATTATTTATTACGCACGATTTTATAATCAAATTTTATATATAATATTATATATTATTATCCAGACAAGTTATTCGTCATTTTTTAAATTGAAATATTAAATACGTGCAATAAATAATGTTCAATAAATAATAATTTAGCAAAGTGACAGATTAAATTCGTTTGTTTATTTCTGACAAACTACTGTCTAAATTTCACGATTTTTAATTTTAGTGGTTTCAGCTTTGTGTTGATGAATAAAGTTGAAAACTTGAAATGTGGACAGTAACTTCTTTTCATGGCGTACAAATTTACTAATAAGGCATTTTTCCAAATTCAACTCTTAAGGAACAAAATTATTTGACGATTCTATTAAAGCTTGGTATAAATCCTCAATTTAACACGTGTTTTACTGTATTTGCAAAATGCATATTGCAAATACAAGTTATTCATAATATTAAGAGTAGATAAGCGAAATCACAGGTACGAGCTAGAGCTCTATAATGTAAGGTATTTCTATTGCGTTGAAGTCAATGAACGGACTGAACAAATTTGAAGGACTGGCTTACCAATTTTACTTTATTACGACATTAAATTAAGGAATCACTAGAAAACGTGGTCTTTTAGCCTTGCTTTAGCACTTTTTTATAAATAAACTATAAAACTTTTGTTAAAGGGATTTTTCGTACATATTCAGTTACATGTTTTTAGTATTTACAAATTCTTTAAAAGGTTATAATCAAAGTTGACGATAATCGTGATCCCCGGGCACAATCTTTTAAAAAAAATTCCCTCCTAACTTCCATGACGTCGACTATTCGACTTATTTGACAAACGAAGCTTTATTTAGTTTTCTTAGTATGTGTTTTGCTGTCGTAAATTATACGATAACTGTAATTAAGAATTAATAAATGACAACATTCAGAAACTTTAATGTCGGTTTTCTTAATTTTTTTCATACGTTTCATAAAATAAAATCGAAAAGAGAACAATAATTTTATTCTAAAATTTAGAGGCAATCAATCAAAGTAGATATTAAAGTATCGTTCTAGATTCCAAGACATTAAAGTTTTTCATACCGTTTCAGTGAAGATAATTATACTTGATAATAGATTAATCTACTAGCTCATATAATATAAGACAATCTTTTTTTGCTTAAAAAAAATGTTCTGCTCAACCGATTCTTCCTTTCTGTGGACAATCCTTGCTTACCTTTTTTAATCCCTATAGATCTTCGTTCCGAACGGTGAATTCGATTGTCCTCCAGTTAATTAACGTATATTTCCGCCTATTATCCCAACTCGGACAACGACGGTTTACTCGTTCCTATCCCTCAGAGAACTTTCAAAATACATCGTCGAAAATCCTTCATCTAAAACACCGATATTAAGGTAATTAGGAATTTTGATGGCTGATAAACATTTATTTGCGAATGTGCTTTAAAACAGAAATCCAAATCAACAAATTCAACAATTGATTTGTATTTCGTTGGTGTATTTACCTACATCTGGCCGATGATAATTGTTTCACGGTGAAATAAAGGACATTCTCGCTTCTAAAATGGTCGAGATTGAACTGTTTAATCTCGCCTTTCCAACTCGAAGTTTATGGGTATGAGAGTCCAGTGAAATTTTGGAGAAAATTATTGCGTGACAATGTACTGTTCGGTGTCGCTTTCAAACTGCTCTAAAGGAGAACGTTAAAAAACAACTGTTCTTGGGATAGTCTGAAAATGAAAAGTTCAGGCAGGATCTTTAAAAGTGCTTCCTAAGGAACAAAAAATCTATTTATCATTTTCCATTTATCCATTTATCACTTTATTTCATTGTCCCTTCGATTGGGTATTGAATCATTTTCTAAGTATTCAATAAAATTATCAGGTATCGACTAATTACGAGTACTTCTGCTATTCTACAATCAGGGTAATTGTGCATACTAATCGTAAGCTCATTAACGTAATAGTATTCCCTTGAAAAATACAAACGATATAAATAATTCTAGGGAAAATGATAAAGGGACATTTTGTCCCTTGGGAAGCATTCTTAAAGATTTTACAAATAATTCGTTGAAACTCCATAGGAAAATGATTGTTTCAAAGTTTTAGCCTCTCACCACTGTATTGTTGGCGGACGACGCACTATTTCATCAAATCGAGCACTGCCTTTCGTTATGTATGATGCAATATCGCGTCGAATCAAATACTGTCATCTGTTACGGACGACGCGTTATCGAGTCAAATACCTGTCACCTCGAGGAACGAAGACACGTGTATAAGTTACACTTCAGATTGCAGTTCAAATGAACAGTTCTGTGCAATACAATAAAGAAAACGTATCACAACATCAAACCCTTCTACATGTACGTACATATCAGGTACATAAACGTCAACTGTGACATTGGTTCAAAGAAAACAGGCTATGAGATGGAATCACGTAAAATCGATGAAATTGTAGAAACATTTGAGACGTGTATTTGTATTGCAGTTAAAATTGCATTTGAGAGTTAAAAAATAGGATTTCAATGCAGCTAACTTCGATATAATGGGGTATTATTGTCGTGATCTTGTTCTGATCCAACAACGATAATATCAGCATCACTCGATGATATTCGATGTGATTGTTTGAATTTCATTCAATCACATATGCCATTGCATATGACTAAAATCGTCGTCTGAAAAATCGGAATCTTTGTTTGCATAGCCATTACGTGAAATGACTGTAAAAATAGGGTTCATGGAACATCTACACTGTAATACTGTATTTATATTTACAGATAATTATATAAATACAATCAAGTATCGATCTATAATAATATTTTGTTCGCTATATATTGCTAAATTTAGATATAGGTACAAGGTGGTCCTAAATTAGATGTCACAACCATCACAGCATGATTCTACATCTTTGGTTTGACGGAGAAGGATCTAAGAAAGTAATCTTAAAATACATTCTGACCTTAAAATGATCGTTTACTACATCGTATTCCACTCATTGTGAAAACAAATAATTTGACAACAATTAGAAGTCAGAAATAATTTGTTCTCTTGGAAATTGTACTGTTGAAATTCGCATGGGGGATTAACCCTTTGCACTCGGGGGGTAACTCTCAGTTACCACTTGATTCGACGGAGTAAAATTATAAAACACGATATTTAATGTTGAACTTCGTACAATGCCTCGATACAGTCAAAAGAAGATATTTATATCTAGCCGAAACGAATCTAAACTTATTTTTTCAAGTGTTCTCTTGAAATTTGAAATCTGCTAGGTCGGTATGTTAACAAAGAAACTTGTATAACTTAACATGTTAATGAAAAAAATAAAGTTTCACGTTAATCTTATATGTGCATTTCAGTAAATGCTATACTCACATTCTAGTAAAAAGATCTGATTCATTTCTAGGATTCAACCACTTGTAGGTTTAAATTCGAATTTTATCTGTCGCTTCCTCTAGATCAGAACGATCGAACAAACAAATAATTCTAACAACAACAAAAAACAGTGTTCAGAAAGTATGGAAATGTATCAGCGCGGAACTTCTATTCATAGCTCGTATATCATCCAGTATCGCAGTTCCGCAGCGTCGAAATCTTGAATACGAAAGTCCTCGCACAGTGTGTACCGGATGTTAGAAGGTCAACCAAGATCAACTTTATCGTAACTCTCATTCCACTTGACAGATTATCAGAAACTGGCATGGAACAAACGTATTCGACAGTCTACTGAACGTTTTCCGTGGGTGCGCAGACTGTCGTCCGCGGCTACTCGTTCTTCGGCAATGAATCGAGTGAAATTTCCAAAAATTTCCACGGCCAATTAACTGCAATAATTATTATCCTTTAAAGGAGGAAATGTGATTGGAACTTGAAAATGCGAGTCGAAGAATATTGAAGAGATTACGAGTTGCAGAACTGACGCGATTGAAGTACAGCTGATTCTCATTGGAATAGAGGAATAAACGTCCGAATATACGAATTGAAGAACATTGAAACGTGCGACAAATATCTACCTTTCAAGCTTCGTGTTAGCGATATCATCATGAAGAAAACGCCAACCCACTTGACGCTGAATTGGTTGTCGAACTATTGTTGCGTCTCTTGCTACTCCATCGATCGGACTCATCAGTTGCAGAATGTTGCCCGTGCAAAGGGGGAAGTTGGAGATTCCGAAGAGTTAGAACATATAGAATTGCGGAGCACGAGATCCGACGACTCGTTAACGAACAACGAAATTCTAACGAAACCGGACGCCAATTTTATTATCGCGAATCAATTGAAATATGCGGATTCGGAAGATCTTAGAGGAAGCGTACTGTCCAGTATCGATTGGGACCCCGCTGAAAGAAGACTGTCTGCGCGAATGACGTTTGATGGATCAGTGGCTTCTGAAATGAGAGAAGAGAAGATTTCCGATTGGAGGCAAGATTCTGAAGGAGATTCGAAATCGTCGGTCTCCGAGGAGGTGTTTCCCAAATCTAGGACGAACAAGAAGCAACAAACATGGCCTTCTCCGGTTATAGACATATTCCCCAAGTGTAAAATCGGGAAGTCGAAAAGAACAAGCTCGAAGAACATTTGTGAGAATGGAACAAGTTGGTTGAAACCTTTCATTAATGAGAAAAAGTCTTAACAACGTACCCATTACTGGCTAGGAAGTTACTCTACGCACAGACACGACTCTTCGCAAATATCGTGTATTTAAAAGTTTAGTTTATCGACCCTCGGAAAGCAGATAATTCTTTATTTACTTGAATATATATATGTATTTGCGTATTTTCTGGGTGTTTATGAACTGATTTCGCCGGGTCATACTGGTCAATACAAGATTAATTACAGTACAAGATTGGATTGATAACTTAAGCGGTAGAGTTAAACGAACGCATAGGAAACATGGACCGAGCCAAATCAGATATTCAACCCATGTTGAATTTAAAGTAGTCCTAGGCGTCCAATTCAGATTTAATCTACATTCAAATATTTCGTTCCGATTTGACCCGGGCAAGTCCAACGGAAAATAGAGTCAAACGTAACCGAGACTTACGAATTATTTAAACATTGAAGCAAAGATTGTCAGAGATTGCAATGGTTGTAACAGGACAATTTTCTTCAGACTCATGCATTGAAATGAAGTTAGCTTTAGAAATAATTTGAAGATGATCCCATCCATTTATTCAGTTCTCTTGTTGCAGATGACGGAAGTAGCTTATCGGAAGCATGTAGTACTCCCATCATTGGTGCAGGATCAAGAACGGGCTCAAATCATACGGTAATGGACGTAGATGATATGGATCCGGGATTGCATTCCGGACATCTTGCGACTCGGGGGTCCTTATCTAGTCTTGGGGTACGTATCAGGCTACATCAAATTGTATATGTGTTCGAGTAAATATTATTCATTTAACTCCATATCGAAGAGTAATCGACAACAGCGTCATTACATTGCGTTTTACATTCATCGACGTCGCGTGTCTATTTTAACCCTTTGCACTCGAGAGGTGACTCTCAGTCACCACTTGATTTGATTTGCAAAATTATAAAGTTTTATATATAATATTAAGCTTTGTATGATGCATCAATATATGGTATATTGAAATAAAGTAACTTTCCTTCTTAATTTATACATGTTTCCTCGTTAATTAGTTTCAAAGAACATCGTCTGTATCTCATCGAAGAATATTGAATGTTTCTAGTGAAAAACTTTCGAGTGCAAAGGGTTAACTCCTTCGATCCAACCTTTCGGCTAATGAAATTGTTGCGCATTCCTACATTGTGCTACGTACACTGATATATTTACACATAGTTTGAATATTTTGTATCGTGCCGTTCTTTTTAACCCTTCGCGGACGAAGATTTTTTAAAGTACGCAAAGCTTGCAATGTATGAAGCATAAATTATGCATCGAATGCTTAAACAGTAGTAAAAAAGGGAACTATACACTGATCACTTGCTATTTAAGTAATTAAATCATTCGTTTGCAACTTAGTATTCCAAATATGAAAATTTCATCTGATCGAAATGTCGACATTCGTCCGCGAAGGGTTAAAGCTGGGGCGAATACCTATGTCTTAAAAGAGCAATAACAATAATAAAACATATTTTCGAGAATTCAAATGGTTGGCATAGATAGTGTTAGACAATACTACATTGAAACGAATAAAGAAAACTATCATCCCCGTACCATTACTATCAGTTTAAAGTAATTCATCAATCAGGAAAAGTTTCGTGGAATATACGTACATATATTTTACCTTTTGGATTGTTACACTAGCAAATTAGCAAATAGTCGCTTTGTATCCCTGTTTAAGAAGAAGGTATAGCACAATAAAAGAGAGTCAAAAGTGATCTTAGACCGATTTCTCTCGAAAAAGTTTTCTTCGGTAGCTCACCCGTAGAAAACATTGTATACCAATTTTCAGCCCTCTGTCTCAACCAGAAGGGTATTTATAAGGTAAATTCGAATTATCAGTTTTTGTCCTATATTCCCCATTTAATGGCACGCAAAAATTCTGAAACAGATTCTGAAACATTTCTGATATAGCAGTATATTGTCGAGAATTTTTGGAGATTTTCCTGTTCCAAATCCTTAGCGTGAAAAATGAAAACCACCTAAAAATGTAGGAAAATGTAGATTTCATATCGAAGCTTTCGAGCGACAACTTATTGATTTTGACAGTGGTAGACACAGTAGTATAATAGACATTTCCCATCTTTTTCAAATTTTTTGGCCTCTCACGGCATCGGTAAAAAAGTGAAAAAACTACAGTGTTTTGTATAGCATGTATATTAAGCGATTTTTAATATTTGTGCATTTAAAAAAAATAATATGCAAATGAATTGATTAAAGTAAAGTGAAAGAGAAACATTTATCGAACAGACCTACCTTACGCACTCCACTACTGCACGAATCATCGTGTTTCGCATAAATTTGAATGATTTAGAAACGAAACCCAAATTACGAGTTTCTCAAATCAATTCTTAAATTATACCCCATCTGTTGTCGAATAATCTCTATATAATACTTGTACAGAACAGATCAAGTGTGACAGCATATTTTGTATTTATATTTATAGGTATGATGTTTATTTTTCAGGCACGTTCGGATTCAATGGCATCGGTTTATAGCGGTGCTGGTGAAGGCCGGTGCTGTCGGTCAGTGATCGTCACCGGAGAAGTTGAATTCGCATTGCAATACGATTACAAGCATCTAACGTTCGAGGTGCACGTAACGAAATGCAAAAACCTTGCACCTGTAGACGTAAAACGCAAACGATCCGATCCGTAAGTAATGAATGATACATTCCAACACGTTACATGCCATAGAATGGCATAGAATAATATCTTTCGGTATTTGACCAGTTTACAAGCTGAAGTGCTTTTGAAATTTTTTCTTAAATTTTAGTGCGAAAGCACTTGATTACCAGTCATCTCTTCATATTTGTATAATTTCTCTAACACTTTTTCTTTTGCTCAATTAATCACAGTAAATTACTTTAGTACACAAACGGCTCGTTAAACACGATATTTAACACTAGAACTACCGTACCAGTTAAAATGACTGGTTTCGATTTTTTTGTTTAACAATTATTGATATCTTCGAAGCATTGAATATTCGAAATGATTTTGAAAATAAATAGTTTAATTTAAGTACTATAATGAATGTCTGAAGAAATTGAAAATAATCTATTGTTACAATTTTTATAGGAATTGCACGTTAATTGTCTTAAATGCTCGGAAGTTCTAGTGTTAATTAACACGTTAATGTTAGATTCATGTTATAGCACCGCGCGGGTCTGCCCTTGTATACTGATTGTGAGATTAAAGATTTCGTTTAGGGGACATCGGTTTTTGTTCAGTCAATGCTTTAAGAAAAAGAATATAATAACATAAAAAAGTAGGCCTAAACGGAAAGGCAAGCAGAACAGATTGTGCACTTGACATGTTAAGGAAAATATATACACATTTCATTTATTAATCGTTTTTGTTTCAATACATGGAATTTACTTTAATATATATCTTCTTCCAAATTTTTCATTATAGAATTATACCATTGAACTCATGGAAATAAGTAAAAATGTTATTAGCAGATCGCAAATGTTGAACTTGCGAAAATTTACGTTTTTATAGATAAATTTAAAGTAACTAAAGTTAAATTGGTTGCAACCCTATTGCCCTAGTAGTAGGTTCAGTGGATTAAGAGTACACTGAAACTGTATTTTTACAGTTAAAGTGTGTATATACATCTTATATTTAATAGAATATACTTTGTTATAGAAAGAATTGCTGAATATAAGTAAAACTGTAACCTTGAATGTGCACAGTCTATTTTAAGTCTGTATTTCGAAAGAAGAAATAGACTGATTGATCTGCAGTGTTGCCTGTGTGCAGCCATTACGACCTCTGTCTTTGCATATACCGCAAATTGCTTCACTAAAGCTTTACTCGCAATGCTTTTGTAGTTGTACCTGGTTAACACGTTCAATCTTATTGATCCCAGCAGAAAGCATAAATCACATTCAACAAATAGCAGACAATGTTTTATTGTACCTCGATTATCAGTTTTGCCTATGCACACACAAAATTTAATCGTAAGATGCGGTGACAAATACTTATTAAAAGTTATCACAAAACTACCAAATCCTTAAGAGTATGATTTAAATCTAAATTTCTCATTTACGAGATACATTGTTTTTTTTCTGAATGTAAAAAACAACTGCTCCTAAAATAACAGAGCATTTAAAATACAGAGTTACCCTTAGGTCCTCCTTTTTTGAGCTTATCGCTTAGTTTTCATAAATAACGGTATACCCTTTTTAATTTGCCATCGCTTCGTGCCTAATTTGCTAAACTAAAATTAAGATATAAGTATAACCCTAATATATTTAAAATTTCTTCTTTTTCAGTATAAAATATTTGAAAGTTAATTATTTTAAAGTTGGTTATATCTATCTTTTATTTTACATTATTATTCGTAGGAAATTATTTGTTCTTTAGTCTACAGATAAAGGATCAGTCTCTTTCGAAAATTGTCACTTAAATCAATAACTTACCTTTACTCTTCAACGTAAAATGCGTAAATAAATGTTTATTTAAAAAATATCGTATCGAAATGACAATATTTAAATTCTGAGGTAATCTGACTGATGCCCTTCAATTGTTATCTGCACAATGCAAGTTTGAAAGTATGATTCTCATTAGAGAGTTTACGTTACAGCTGTATGTTAATGGTCATGACATACAATGGTGGACAGTTACTTATGCACACGTAGTACTCCAATTTTTAAACTTCCCAGTATTCTCCTCAGAAATTCGTAAAGATATAGAAATCATATTTTCATAAAATCATATTTTCAAAAATATATATTTATTTCAAGAATTTAAAAAATTTTCCATATAATTGAGAAATTTATGTATTCTTGTATTAAATGTTAACGAATTGTTCCAAAAAACTTAATATCTAATTGCACTTTAAGCAAGTAAGTACTGAACCATTACTTCCTTTGACTTGATTGTTTTACCCAATTTTTCAAACTGATTAAAATTAGATTGACCCGTAAAAAGTACTTTGGACCAATATTTTCGTGTCTACTTCAAAAGCTCTTCTATTAAAGCAATCCTGGTCTGACGATGCTCCTCTGAAATCGAAAGTTTCTTTTTTGAAATCCTTTTTTCCAATTCATTTAATCGATGTTGGATTACTCTCATAGTAAGAAGTGTTTTTGTCAAAATATGGCATTATTTCTTTAGGAGTGTCAACGGCTGTCTTATATTTATTCATTTCAAATGAACGGTGAATAATGCGATTGGTTCTAGCGTCGGTTTCTCATGTCCTAATTTTTTGGAAAACTTCGTCTATAGTTCTATGATATTTGCATTACTTGACAACAAGCCATTGTTGTAGATCTCCTTATTTCCTTAGATATCTCTCGGAAAGTTTTCCCAGCTTTAAATGTCTGTCCTAAAAACAATTACTCAAGAAACTGTAAATGTAAGTATTATTGAATTTTTGGAACGAACAAAAATTTTACTGAGACATCAAAATAAAATGTTCAAATTCTCTGAAAATCTAGATAAGACATTTTTGCAAACTTTGCAAGAAACAACATGCCACTTACAAATTGACTTGTATGTAAGTAAATGTCCGCTATTGTAGCTTATATTAGAAAACAATTTAGTACTCAATTTTAAATATTGCTTTATTTGCAAAATTCACTGACGCCAAAACTTTTGGTATTTACGCAAGTAGGTATAGATTGTTATGGACTATTGTCAAACCAATTTTATAAAGCTTCAATGAAAATATAAACTGCAATTAATTGCAGTCAGTAAACTTGGAACTAATTAAAAGTTTTAGTAAAGAAAAGAAAATGAAAGCTAAGAAATTTTGAATGTTTATAAGAATTCCTACATCGTGGTTGTTACCAGTTCAATCTAACATCACATTTAACATGATTTCTATTTTTTAACTTGCATATCGGAGGTGAAGACGTAGGAAAACTGTACTTCTACAGATTTATGTTATCCACAAGATTTTAAAATTGAATAATTTGAATCAAAATTTATCATTCCATGTTACAAAACTAATCTACAAATCCTAATAAGAATTTTCACTCAGAGGTAGATTCTTTGTGATGTAACAATAATCATAAAAGAAACACCGTATGACAGGTTTTTGGATGAAAAAAGCTGGGGTCCTGACTTTTCCTGTTATAACTCGATCTATTCTTAATAAAAGTTAAACTTTAAAGAGTAAATTAAATTTCAAGTAACTTCAATTTTAAAATAAAGCATTTAGTTCATCGGCTTACTGAAATAAGTGTTTAAGAACAGACAGAGAAACTTTCGAAATACAAGCTATGATAAAAAAAAATTCATTGGTCTATATAGTATTATTGATCTCTTATATCTTTCAACCTACTAATTGTTTGTTACTTTATAAATAGTTATTGCCAATTTATAGGAGCAGTCTACACGTTAGTACACCTTTTTTTCTTAAAGGTACAGTGAGGGACAAAAGTAGTGGGATATTCTGTGTATTACAGTGATGCTCGCTTGAATTTCACAAAAATCTGCTCGACTTAATTCTACTGCACTATCTGCACTCATCCCCCGCTACTCTCACTGCCTCGAGCTCGATGTAACGTTATGCCAGTAGACAAACTGAATGAATACAACGAGCGGAAGGAAAAGAGACACATTTCAATAAAGTACCGCGAATGTTGCCTTTTCAAATGTCGTACCAGTGGTTTAGTGAGATTCTTCCGATTAAAATGAATCCAAACACGACATAAATCGATTTAATTTTATCAGTTTGGGGGAAATGAACCTTTAATTCCGGTAATTAGATGAAGTCGATAAAACTAGTCCTATTTACGTCATGTTTAGACTCATTTTAATCAGAAAAATTTCAACGGCGCATCGGTACTACATTTGAGCAGGTAAGGTTAAAATGATTGCAATTGAAATTTTCTTCACTGCGTGTTTATATTTTTTTATGCTTACGGCGTCGCTTTGAAGTCCCGCGTCTTGACCCTCAATTTTCGGCAAACAGTGTGTATCCCACTTTCACTCACTATATCGATTCTCTGCCTTTGTCAGACTGGGCTCGAGTCAATTCCTTGAAGCAAATGGCTTCCTCCTTTTTTTCTGTTCGGTTAAATTCCACTTCTGGAACCCAAAGTTGTGAAATTTAAGCGAGCATTACTGTACATACGTTAGCATTATTACTATAATGAAATATTTTCTCTTAAACATTTATTAGACGAGAAAAATTGTAGACAAAAAGTAAAATTGTGGACAGAAGTCTTCGAATGATATCGTTTCACGTGCATCGTGCTATTTAATGAACATATTTTATATGGAATTATAAAACGATGGGCAGCTTTTTTTATAAATATTCTTCAGATAAATTCTCGTAGAATATGAAATTTTATATCGATGATACTCGATCAGAAATTTAAATTGTTTAAGTAGGGTCGGATATATTTTTTCTTTGGTTTATTTCAAACCTTTAAAAGATCATTTTACCTGCGTCGTTGTAAGTTAGAATTACTAAAGTTAGTAAAAAGTTAGCAAAGTTAGTAAAAACTAGTTACTAAAAAAATAAGTCCACGGGATAGCAGTAAAGTTCGCTGAATAAGAAGGAAAAAAATCATTTAAATCATTGTTGCTATGTTAGCGTCAGACAATTACAAATGACCCCACTGTACCGCTTAAAAATAGCCATTATTATAAATGATTTCTGAATGTCAATAAGAAACAAAATTTTCCATCAGGTACGTGAAGGTCTACTTGTTGCCAGACAAGTCGAAAAGTGGCAAACGAAAGACAAAAGTGAAGAAGCACACCCTGAACCCGGAATTTAATGAAACGCTGAAGGTAAATATAAACGATATCATTTACGGGTAAAATTATCAGTTTACTTGGTGTCTCGCGAGAAAGGTATTATCGTTTAACACATCCTCACCATACTATTACAGTTCCATATGAGTTTGAGCGGTCTGGAGACCAGGACACTATGGTTAACAGTTTGGCATTCCGACATGTTTGGACGCAACGATTTCCTTGGAGAAGTACGAATGCCCTTGGAAAATAAAATCTTTGACGATCCCACGCCGAAGTGG